CTTAACAGTCTTCTCTTCAGTATTCAATTGATGTTACGTCAGTTAAAGTTTAAGGAATTCTAGAGGAAAAAATTTCTTTGGACAACATTCTAAAGCTTACCATGCATTACTGGTTTTCATTCTGCAATGGCAACATTATTGCTCTTTTTGAAAGGCAGATAGTAGGTATTCCCATGTCTTCATGACCATTCACCCATTACTAGTGATTAGGAAAAAATCCGAACAATGGCTACTTGCCTAGAGAAAATAATATGATATTTACATAACTTGCTTTCTTATAAACAATGAGAACATGCTTTCTTTAAACAAAATTGACTCAGCAATTTGATCCATACTGATTGATGAATGAAGCTAGAATAACAGGAGGAAGAGAAAAACCTATATGTAGGTCCCAATTTCACTGGGATGTTGTTGTTGTTGTTGTAGGTCCCAATTTCAGAGCGAACTCAATAACAGCAGCCATTCACTTTGTTAAGCTTTTTCATGCAATTAAGCTCAAGTAACTAGGAGAAAAAAGAAGAAAAACTACAATTTAGGCCGTTATACATTAGTGAGAGGCTTGATGAACATTGACCGATTTAATTGTTTCTGTCCTAATTCACAAAGTAGATAATTATTAGCACGACAAGTATGGGTGAAGTTGATGCAATGTGAAACTTCTAGATATAGAATAAATTTTCCTCTTTTTTTTCATGTGATGAGTGTCTGCCTAGGATAGATGATAAAGAAAACAGAGCAACTGGAACTTCATAACAACTTTATGATACTGCAATGATCAATGTATATGAATACCTTTCAAGTCAGCACATCAATCAGACAAATCTGAACAGTTTTGCTATTTTGGCAGCATGAAATCGGTGATTGAAAGATACAACAAAGCAAAGGAGGAGACTCATAAATTGGGAGATCCAATTTCCGAGGTCAAGGTAGGTTTTGCTAGCTAATTTGCAGTCAACTAGTCAAAGGAAATAAAGCATAATAGTTTCCTGCATACTTGTTAAATAGACGTAAGGCCTAACTCAACCCAAAAGCTAGCTCAAGAGGTGAGGATTGCTCAAGTCCATATAAGGAGACCACTCATCCCCTTCATTGTCGATGTGGGACTCAACATCCCCTCTCAAGCCTAGGACTGGACATCTGTAGCGTGGACAATTATGGGGCCTAACATCGGAAAATCGGGATGGGTCCTGCTCTGATACCATATGGAACAACCCATCCCGCTAGTGATATTATCCGCTTTCGGCCTAGGCCTTCACGGGTTTAAAACGCGTCACTAGAGTCTAAGGCATGTCTACTTATATAGACAACATCTCTCTCGTATTTTGTTGATGTGAAATTTGCCTAGGGTGTTAAGGACTCAGTTTACCCCACCACCGTTCAAGGTTGCACGCGGAGTGACTCTGATACCATGTTAATAGGACATTGGGCCTAAATCAACTCCAAAAGCTAGCTCAAGAGGTGAGGATTGCCCAAGTCCATATAAGGAGACCATCCATCCCCTTCATTATCGATGTGGGACTCAACACTCCTATTAATTGTACATTATTTATGAAATACCAAAAAGAACTTCCTTTCATGCTAAAATCCTTAGGGTTCTCTTGTCCTCCAAGCATAGTGTCTAAATTAGAATACACTCTGAAAAGAACAAAGTGGTATGACCTCAGAAACAAAACCAGAGTCATAATTTGGTCTGCTAAGGAAAACAAAGAATAGGACTAGGCATTTGACTTTTCAGAAGATTACAAGTCGTGGCACTAGCAGGGAAAAAGTACATGACTTTAAAGCACTTATTTTTATAACTGTGGTGTCCGGGCCAACTTGCGTGCACCTCAACTAATTCCACAAGGTACCTCTTATCTTCCACCAACACAGGTACTGGGTAACTCTGTCCATCAAGGCTTGGACAGATGGAAAAAAATCACCTACTGTTTTTACCTCCGCTGGGATTTGAGCCTTTACAGCACATTATACTGGTATCAAGCTTTTTTGACAACGTAAAAGAATCAGGACTTTACAGCACATTCTTTCATGCATCTGCAGTCTTCTTGTTTGTTTTGTGCACTAAAGCATACATCTTATAAGCGTCTTTACTATAGAAAGCTTTGCTTCTTTGAGTGCCAAAATGTTTCTGCACATCTAAATTATCTTGACGTTCAATAGTATCCAAGTTTAAGACACCAAAACTGTTATTTTTACCTTATAACCGGAGGCGGAGCCAGAAAAATTTATAGGTTCTAAACTTGCTATCGAGCCCATAACTCGTCTTAGTTACTGGATTTACAATTAAATAACTATGCACATTTAATGAATTTCCTAACACGAATACAGGGTCTAAGCAAAAGCTACTGAGTTCGTCTGAACCCTAGGTGATACTCTAACTCCACCCCAACTTACAATAACAACAATAATTATGCCTCGATCCCAAGCAAGTTGGTTTCGATTATATGAATCATCACTTTTTCATTTAAGCTATGATAAGAATGGATCTTTGGCCTAACTCAACCCAAAAGCTAGCTTGTGAGGTGATGATTGCCCAAGACCATATAAGGAGACCAAGATACCCATAACCCACCGATGTGGGACACAACTCAACACCT